GGCTGGCCGGGTGCGATGTATCTTTGAAGGAGGCAGTGCCTGGGGCAGTGCGGCTGCAGGGTGCGGTGTGAAGGGCCTGGCACCTGGGACCTGCATTGGCAGGGTCTGCCTGGGCCCACCGGCACCCGGGTGGGGAAGGGCCACGCGATCCACTCGGTCTTGTTGGCATAGCTGCGGCCCCTGGGGGTGCCCTGTGGGCTGGCTGTCTCCCTCATCACCCTCCTCTGCTCTTGGTAGGAGAGGACCCTGTGGTAGCAGACACTGGGGTCTGCCGAAGCCTGGAGATCCTTTTGGCACCAGCTGAACTCCGGGGCCCTGAGTCCCTGGTGAGGCACCATTTTCTCCTCTAGGATCCGCCCCACCGCGGTCACGACCACCTGAGCCTCGGCAGAAGCGCTGTCCATGGCCGACCTGCCTGTGGCTTGTCCCCGGCCCTGGGATGACGAAGACTTGCCCTTTTGAAGGGAATCTTCCAGTCCCTTGCCTCTACTGGGAAGGAACCACTGGAGCACGTGCTTCATCCTTCTCCTGAAGTAGTTTTCCGGAGGCGCCGCCGACTCCTTCCCCGAGATCTCACAGGCCTTGCTTCCCGAGGCCTCTGCGGACTCCTGGCTCCGGACGGGGCGCGTCACCTCACTGATCGGGAGGACCTTCAGTTCGGACAACTCTTTGTCAGGCTTTTTCGAGGGGGACCTCCTGGAGCTCTCTCTCTCCTCGGGGGGGACACATGACCTGCTCAGGCTCTTCCATTGGTGCTGTAGTCCCGGGGGTCCCGGCTGCCTGTGGGGGCTCTGGCCACGGGATCTTGGGCCACGTGGCACCTGGGTAGTAGATGTGTCTTCGCTGGACCCGCTCTGGAAGCCAGACAGACATCCCTGAGAAGCCAAGACGTCGGCAGTGAGGAACACGTTGGACTGACAGTCTTGAAGGAGACGCTCAGTGGCACAGTCTTGAAGGAGGACCCCAGTCTCACAGTCTTGAAGGAGCACGGTGGGGCTGGCAGCCCGAGGCCAGTTCTCTGTCCCCATAAACTTCCGGGACTCCAATCCCCTGCGCCGAGCCTCAAGGCATAGCTCTTTGGGGTCTCGGGCGACCAACTTTGTAGGTGGCAGGGGGCTGTCGCTTTTCCCTGAAGACCCTGATCTCAGCTCGCCACGGAGGCCTTGGTTGTTGGCCAGCACACGGGGTTCTAAGGTGACTCCCCAGGCAGGGGCCTCCTCGACCTTCCTGGGCTCTTCGGCACTCAAATCCTGGGGCTCTAAGCTGAGCTCTAGCACGGTCACGTCCCGTGAGGCCCAACCCCCATACGCCCGCCTTGGCTCCTTTGTGGCCATTGCTGGACTTGGACTTGACTCCAAGGTGCTGTTCATAAGAGTCCTCGAGGCAGTCTCACTGTGCCAGATTCTGCCCACAAAGCTGTATGTGAAGGTCCGAGAAGATGGCCTGGTCCCCTGTCCAGCCGGAGGGCCACCCCCAGGTGCGTTCCCTTCCACAGCCTGCTGGATTTCCTCACACGTAGGCTGGGGAGCATCGAGGGGACCCCCCCAGGTGGGATAAGACTCTTTCATCACCTCTCCTTGATAGGGATGAGGAGGATTTCCCACAAACTTGGTCCCCGAGCCGGCCTTGGATACGCAGGTGGCTGAGCGGGGA